GCATATACGAAAATTTAGCGCTGTGTTTCCCATAGAGAAAACTCTAAAACTGAGAGATCCAATACAACACATACACTTGATAAATTCCAGTTTACTCACGAGTTTGATTTGGCACAAAGCGCGGCGAAGAGACTGCATACTATACTTTTTCTAAAACCATTGGTTACGAATATATTTACTGAAGAACATGTGACGCGACCGTCACAATTGACAAACGTCAAAATACCATGACCAAAATCTTCCGAAAACTTCCAATCTCTCGCAAACAGTGAACTTTCCGCCCGCTTCAGAGTAGGGAGTAGAAAATATATATTAATTGAATTGAATCTTACTTTTTTGTTAGTGCTTTAAGATTCAAAGTGCGCCAATTCTATCGGGTATATATTTGGAAAGTCCTTCGCACCTAGAAGAAAGTTGATTATTTAATATTTAATACTTTAATTATTAAATATTAATATTTAATAATATTTGCCGGAGAAATAAAGTTATGTTTCAGGACAAAAAAATGGCGAAAAGTTATTCAATTCTGGATAAAAATCACATAGCCAGCACTAATTTACAAATAACCCATTAAAAATGGTCACGAAAATATTTCTAGTGCCGGATTAAATATGGCAAATAAAATGGTATCCAACACCCTGCGAAAAAAAAATCCTACTAAAAATATGCATCTTTATATAGAGGGTGTATCAATCGTGGACGGACGCCATTTATACAAATGATGCCTTTTAATGCACAGAATGCATTTAACCAATTTCACAAAGGTAACCAAAAATCCAAACGATTTTTTCGTAAAATGTTAAATATTAGTTATTATTAACTTATGCCTGTTTAGTTTCATTTCTTGGTTAAAGATAAATCCTTTCACATATTTCATTAAATAAATATTGTGTTATTGTAGCACATCATACACATAACAGGCTATTGTAGATGTTAAAAAACAATTGGGTTGAAGGATTCTCTATATGTTTCTATCCCGGTATCAGTGGCTAGTCAAATAATCTGAACGTAACATAACAAAGTGGCCTCATAAATTTATGAGCCCGCTTGATTTATTTAAAATTTCTATTTTCCGTCGGCACCATTCATTCCACACATGACTTAAGTAAATCTTATAGTGATCCGTTGTATGCAAAGGTTTGGGTGCCGTAGGGAATTTACCAACCCTCGTAAACAACTGAAATTGAAACTTTATCATCTTGTCAAATGTTTGATCTAACCGCAATAAAGCGAAGGATGTTGTCAATGTCAATGGATAATAAGTCAAAAAATTAAACACTCCATGAGTTTTACTTTACTAAGGAATAATACTATATTATATTAGCACATTGCATGCATATTTGGTGAATATAACAAGTTTGTGAATAGTATAGACGAAGAATAAAAGTTATATAGCGATAGACTGCCAGAATTTAGTATTTTTTGCAGTTCAAAAAGACTTGCAGTAAATCTACCGGGTACAGGTTAATAATATCTTAGTAATATTATTTTTTGCGCAGTGGAATAGAATTGTTTTGCAGGCCCTGGCTAGGTGCCAACCTTAGAACATTGAACTCGTCAATCTAAGTTGGCAATAGACTTCTACGGTGACTCTGATCTGTTTGTCTCAATTTTTTCGTATATATACAAGGTTAAAAAGCTGCTCGTGGATAATTTTCATTTCTTGTGAAAATCATTAAAATATTTTTTTAGTTGCAATAATGTTTTAATAAAGTTAAAATCAGATAATGGTATTGAAATGAAAGATTTCGCTGCATCTAATGAAAACTTTGCTAACGATAAATAAAAACGTAATTTTAAATATTAATATTTTACGCTTTGACTGATCTAATGCAGTCGCACTAATACCAATTGTAGATGACTGTAATAACAATTAATTTTTTATTATTTGCCATTTTTTCTACTTCGTTTTTTTGAGAATATTAAATGATTTGTTGAAGGGCACTTTGTGAAAAATTTTTAATCGTTTCTCCTCGTTTGAACTAAATATATTTTGATAATTTTTGACGTTGAAAATACTTCGTATGTTTTGTATGTAGAATACCTATTAATAATTTTATGCTGATGTTAATTAATAAAAAATTTTTAAAATGATTTTTTGAGAAAAAAAAACAAGTAAGTACATCTATTACATATAACCAAAACATAACAAGATAAATAAAGTATATCCATGTAATAACTAAAATTGTTAATTTGATTATTATATCATTTGAATGACATGATAATGTATATTTTGCCTATTATTTAGGAATGAAAATAAATTAGAATCTTAATATTCTTTATCTATTGATTTAGTGTCATTTAGATCTTCAAATAATATTTAAATGTAATATAATATGTAAATAAAGTAATTAAACAACAAGAATATCCTCCCATTTATGTAAATCAACAAGAAAAACACAAGAATCCTGTCTTTTTCTATTGTAAAATTTGTCTCACTTTTCGATCATGTCGGTATCAATGTTCAAATCTAGTGAAATCAAAACAAAAAAGGCTTCATTCCGAAATTTACATATAAACTAATATATATTTTAAAGGTTTGTAAATAGGCAGGTAGGTCAAAATAGAGTAAATAACAAATAGGATACAAAGTGTCTAAAAAGGGCAAATAAAAAATTTATTTATGGCTTCAACCTTTGGAACTATAATAATCGCAACCGAGATAACCCCAAAAGTGACGAAAACAGAACATTTTAACACAATCACTTAATATAGGTAGACATTCTTATAGAAATAAGCCATCATCTCCTCTCCATTAATTAGATCGCGATATTCTTGTTTACAGATTTGGCCTCCTATAAATATAGGACAAAGAAAAAAAATTAGCCTACCTGAAAGTCCTATTCGTATTTCATATTTTAACACCGTAATAATCTAACAACCAAAACAACACAACGTCACTAGCATCTCAATAAGAATACAGTTTAGGTAGATGTTGGAGTTATTGCAAACCTAATATCAGATAAGAACACTGGAAAATGTTGAAACTGCATTGAAACAAAATTCTTATCTTGTGTCTCTCCGATTTTTGCGACCTTGTGAATTTTAATTCGTTTTATATAAAAACGGAACATTTTAATATAATACGCGTCCAAAAATAAAGTCAGCGGCGAAAGCATAAACATTTGTTCATATGATGCTTCCGCATGTACGTTAGCTAACATATAAATACATCGCAGATGATTTTGTGCACCTATACACACCGATACAAATAAACAACCCGTCGCCAATCTTTCGACCTCGTCTATTTAATTTATAAATAAATCATTTTGTTTAAATCGAATTTCCGTTATCTTTTATATCGTCGACAACAGAATGTTCATAATACAACGATTTTATTATGGAAAGTAATAATAATGTGTTTAATAGGTTTGTATCAACAACTTCCGTTAAGAAATTCCAATGCAATTTGAAATTGTTGTGTGCGTTACATCAGCGATGTTACCCCCAAATTTTTTCTATAGTTTATGTCCCAAAGAAAGTAACCAAAATTTTATAATACAACATAATTAAGTCAAGTTTAAGTGATTCTTAATTTAATTTATATTAAAGTTGGGATTAACATTTTACACAAACCGAGATGGCTAATTTCAGATTCATAAAAAAAAGGCAAAACATAAATTAATTGATCCTAAACAATTTTTTAACATAATTCATAATAAAATTCTGACCTGTTCCATGAATATAGAAAAATCGAGCATTATCATTTTGAAAGGGCTGAAGGAAGAAAAACTACCAAAAAAACTGATTTTTAAAGAAGCCTGCTGCTTTTATTTGGAAATCTAAACTATTTACTTACGGAAATATGACGTATCATTTAAAACGATTTCTACATATATTTAAAAAAAATTGTAAGTACCACAGTATAACACAACAAATTACATAAGCTAGGTAGCTAATATATGGTCCAAAATTTCAGGTTTTTACGAATCCAAATTTGGCAACAAAAAATAAGCAAGCAGGTTTTACACCGAAATTGAAAATAAAGGGAGCGAGACCAATGTTGAAATTAGAGCTTATACATATGATCAAATAGTTATTACGATTTACAGGTAAAAAATCATTTGAAATTTCCGAAAAATAGGTTCCGACACACGATTTAAAAAATTTCCTCAAACGAAAAGGGGACCGGTTTTTTTCTACAAAATTTGTTCTTAGTGTTAAAGTACTTTTTTTTTGCTCCCTACTATAAAATACGCAATTGATACAGATTAATGATACAATTGCACAAAAACTGCAAAGAAGTATAATTTATACAACCCTGGTCTCTTGTTTCTCTATGTATATTGTGTTCCTTTATTTAATAGGGTAAATAGAAATAAATAAAAAATAACATTAGTTTTCGTAATAAACATGTATCCGAAAATCCCTTCAGATGCTCTTCAGCAGAAAATAGTTTTTTTTACTACTTTTGAAACGATTTAAGATACCTATATGAAATTTAGACCAAAAATACCTTGATTGAATCATAAAAGTTACTGCTGACAAAAAAATTAAAGTCAAAATAATTTACAATACTTATCTCTCAAATATATTTAAAAGATTATCCGCGCTTTAACATCGCGCTAATCGTTATGACAACGCTTGCTGCAGTTTCGTTATTGTAGAAAATATCTGTATCTGCATTATTTAACCATTCTGTTTCATGACTTCACTTGCAAGTCACCGTTTTATGGTATACACCTTCATTGATGTCTAAGGCACTATACTCCTCTAGCCAAACGAAATTTTAGGAAAATGTGTCACATTATATAGATTTTATTTTCTTGGACTGTTTGTTTGTCTTTGTATTGTGAAAATTCCTCTGTAAAAGGAGCATGTGTTGAATTTTTTTATTTTGCAAGCCTCACTTCGAATAATGAATAAGACTATGGCCACTCAAAAACCAACCGTGGTAGAATTTATAATTTCCCTAGCAAAATCTGTAAATATTTCAATAAAAAGTTCAGGTTGGTGTGCGTTTCAGAACAGAAAAAAGATAAAACCGGGTAAATACTTACTATTGAGGCGCGTAATAGAACTGTACCGACGCGCCTTATAGTATGGAATCCTATCAGCGAAATCATTTGCAGAAACCATCTTGACAAATTTTGTGAATTCACACCGCATACACTATAACACCAATATCAAATAAAAGTTATTGGTTGTCTCAGATCAAATTATTACGACATACTGGCTTGAAAAATCTGTCTTAATTTTCGACACTGCATGAAGTTAAATATTGATTCAGGTATTCTGGGAGATATTGAAGAACAACAAAATTGTTAAAAGAAATTTGTCATTATATTATCGTTTAGGTCGAGATACGCGTAAACCTGTCGCAAACGCATATTCTAGACTGATCTAAATTGTTTATTTTCCTTTTATTGTATTTAGTTCAAAGATCTTTAGTTTATCAAAGAGATAGTCGATGGTATAATAAAGTTATTCAAATAAATATTGCCGGTGATTAACTCTCGTGTCAAACACAAAAATCCTATCGCGTTTTCTCAAAATATCGTAAAATGCATTCGCATTAATGAAGATGAAGTCATATAGGTTACAGGCTTGTTTAGTGATTTTAAAATTTGTGATAAAAAAATGTTTGAATTAATATTTTTATTTTAACTGGCATAGCAAGCTTGATTTTATTGAGTTTAATGTAGTTTATAGAAAATCATTTTTCAATAAATATTTAAAAGTGAAGGAGAAAGGATGAACTAAATAAAAAAATAATTATGATGAGAAGCGAAGGCACGCATGCACTTGAAATTTCAGTGAATTTTGCGTGGTCTTGGTCGCCTTCAAAATTGAACATTTAATAATAATGTAATGCGATTTTCGCACATTTTTCTCGGACGTACTCGATTATCTCTACATCATTAGATGTGAAATCTTAGTTCCGCTAACCTTGGTTTGCGTAGTAAATTGTTATTTGTCTTAGTTTTTGATGGTTCTTGATATACTAAATAAATGCTTTGCCTGTATATCTTGCGTCGCCCAAGTATGATAGTGTAGATAGCGTAATGTTTTGTTCAAGAAATTTTAAAAAAAGTTAACAAAAATTTCCGCTGGGGTATGAAATGAAATGAAATTAATGAAACTAAAGTCTATTTTAGAATAATAAAGTTATTCACTGCAAAAATATTCAATTTATCTAGTTCAGGTGGTACCACGCGGGTTTGGTTTAATTTATGAATTCTATCTATTTCAATACTCTACATTTTTTATGAAATAGCCTATGAACAGATTATTTTCCAAATTATATATATATATATATATATATATATATATATATATATATATATATATATATATATATATATATATATATATATATATATATATAATTTTTTATTTTAATTATATCCGAATGTTTTGATTATGTATATAAGCTGTATATTAAATTATGGGACCAAAGTCTATTATCCTTAGCTTGATGTATGTTTGTGTGTTGATGTTGCGGTACAAAAATTTTCAAATTACTGAATTACTGAAACTGAAATAATTTTTTGCCCTTCCCTAATATTTCCGTCATTACGGTTGTATAATTGCTTTTCTTGAAACATAAGAATGTATAAGAAGTATAGGTGAAAAAAGATGTTCTCACTTTAATAATCAAACTAAAATTACAGGCACTGCACACAAGACACAAACAAAACAAAACAAAATAATTGCACCCTCTAGCGGTGAAGATAGTAACTTAAAAAATACATTTCTAGAGATTTCTCTTGATCAATTGGTTGAGAGGTTCTCAAACACTTACAATTATTAGTTCTGGCAATATAAAACTCCAAATCAATTATGGTATATACCTAACCCCGATACTTAGCTCCTACATTAAAAATTATCTAGTAACGAACTTTCAGTATTATTCCACTAAGGTCTCATAGTTTTTTTGAGAAAAACAAAAGAGATACGCAGAACATGCAATAATGCGAAAATTTGCATGGCTATATTTATTACATACATATTCCGTTAAACAATTTTATAATGTAGCTAGTAAATAAAGAAATCAAATCAGTGAAAAAGTCAAACGGTCAACGAAATAGCCGCAAACGCAAGTACCAAAATGAAAATTAGAAAATAAATTCTTTCCCTGAACACATTTCCGCTCCTACAAAATGGATGTAAAAATGATGATTTATCCTAGTAAAATTATAAATTTCTTACAAAAAAACATTTAAGTAAAGCATTTTAATGCGTTTTTCAAAGCTACCCAGATAATGATTATATACCACAATTTGATAATGAAATGATCACATGTTGTTACTAACAGAGAAGTACGTTCCCCATGCGCTATCAACAGTGAAACTCCAGAAGCTTTGGGAGCTTAGATGGCATTTAGTGTGAATCTAGATCAAAGTGACTAGCACAGGTTCCTTTATATGGCGAACAATCTTGCTAATAAAATATTGATGCAAAGGAGATTTGTCAAAACTGAGTTTTCCAGTTTTAGCAATAGGGACTCAAACTTGAGAGAGGCATAATAAAATTGTCTTCAAGTCACAAATCAAACTTGTGCCAATATTTACCGTAAATTGGTTCACTCTTTAGCACTCCTCCATCCTTGCAAATCACTAGGTACAAAGTCAAAGACTGGATTTGTTTTTCTCGTGAGTCTATTTTTTATTATTGTGAGTTTTTTTACACAGTTACAAGTGACAGTAAAAATAAATAATAATAAAGTAATTACAAACCTATGTATGAACAAAACAAAAATGTCATGAACAGAGTGAAAATTAATATTACTATTCCCATCCATAAGGGCATTGTTCCTGTAAAAGATGTAAAATATGCAAATAAATCTGAAATAATTGTTGATATGAGTGCTTAAAGTAGGTATTGACTACTTACTTCGATATGGCAGAGTATGTATGCAGACTTGGTTATCTACAGATATAGACAAAACAGCAGCCTCAGCCGCACTACATATGGTATAATTTTCTAAATTTGAAACAGGAAGGAATTCTAATCCAGTAACAAACATAGAATGTGCACCAGCCACATTTAGCACTTTCTAAAATTTGAATAAAAAAAGGCTGAATAGGAATTTTAAAAATATTTTTAAATTACCTGTAAACTAAAAGCTATATAAATAGAAACAGAACCACTGAACATGGTGCCCACTGCTACAAATCTACCATCATCTCTAACTGCAAGAGCAGAGAGGCTTTCATCAAATTCTGCAGATTTTTTAATTGTAGCTTCTTCAGGTATCCATTGCTGAAGGTAAGATTTTTGCTTCTTGGCAACTCCAGTAGGATTTGCTAGCATATACAATGTGGATTTGCTCTTTTCACCTTCAACTAGACCAAACCTTAAATAAATGTATAAAAAGAAATACAAGAGACAGAGCTTAAAATATGGACTACCTGCATCTCTTATACAAATACTTTGAGCCTTCAGGTTGTTTCCAGCCCAGGCGAGTAATTTCAGTTCCCTTTACATAGTCCCATAATATAGCAAATCCATCTTTAGCTACAGACACTAAATAGTTTCCAAACTGACTGAAATCTAGGTCATCTATTTCTTTACTATGCGCTTTTAGTTTTGCTAAAGGTTGTAAATGTGGAAACCGCCAGATTCTGACATCACCATCTGTGCCTCCTGTGTGATAAGTTCTTTAATAATAACTGAGGGACATTTAATTTCACATTAGGTACCTGTTGCAATAATTTTTCCATTACAATGAACCCGTAATACTCTACACAATGGTTCAAGCCCATTAAAGTCAGTTTGAACACTATCTGATGGATTTAGCACGAATTTTAATTTCTTGTGAACATTTTTATTATTATCTGTTTTATCTTTAACTTTCGACTTCCTTTGATGAAGATCTTCATTGCCATTCCCTATATTTTGAACCATCCCATTTTCTTCAGTGATGAGTTCGGTATTAACATGATATAATTGGCAATGACTTTCCTGTCCTGCTACTAAATATGAATGTTTACTATCATTAAACACAGCACAATTCATAACTACATTTGGGCCAGTTTCATGTCTTGTTACTTCTTCTACAAGGAATTTGCGGCCGTCGTGTGATAGCTCAAATATTTCCTTAAAATAGGCAATTAGAATCTCTAGTACATACAATTTAAAAAACATACAAAGCCATTAGCGACACCAGTTTTGGATGACCCTCCGCCGCCTCCTACTAAAACATGCCTGTTTGTTAACATTTGCAAAGTAAACAGAGGGAAGTTGACTCGGGCCAAAATATCTTCAACATTTCTTTTGTGTTTTGGAGCCATATTTTTGTAAGTAATTATAAAACTAAGGATGTTATTAAAAGTTCCACGTCGATAACCTATAAAACATGACAACAATCTTGAAGTTAGTAGTTCGTTTACCATTTAATAGTTCTTTTGTCCGAAACGAATGGGAATTATTTATTAAAACCCATCTGTTATTCAAAGAAATTAACATCAGGGCCCAGTTATTCACTTCCTTTATTCTTAATCATGAAAAATGTTTAAAAATCACTTCGCAGTTTGCCTAAAATGGCTAAAATGTGCATAAATAAACGTTTCTAATCTAATTTTAACGCAAATTCCTTGTTTTGGTTAGTGGGCTGGGTGACGTTTCTCGGTTGCCGTTCTCCACTAATGGGCGAGTGATCCCTAACATGACAGTAGTTTCTACCACCAATTACATTAGGCTTAGGTATAGATCTAAAAGGGATTAGCATCATATGCCGTTGATTCTATAAATAAATAGTTCTTGCAAGGACAACAAATTCAGTCAACATTAAGAATTAGTTAGTCATAGCGAAATGTTTACCAAAAAGAAGCCGGAACGACCAAAACGAAATCACCAAGGCAAAAACCTAGCGCAGGTATCAAAAGTGAAAATTTTTCGGGTAAAGGAAAATATTTTATAAAGTGTTGACTGACAACTTTCCAGTATGGTTTATTTGATATACCTCAAGATTTTAATGCAATTGGTAAGGATCAGGATGCGGAGGATGGCAGTGATAGTGACTTAGAAGCAGAATTGGCTGCGTTAAGTGGTTCCACTGGATTAAATAAACCTAAGAAAGGCTTGAAACAACCTCTACCCCAAAGAGAATTAGATTCAATAATCGCTAACACTTTAAAAGATATTCCATCAGATGATGAAGATATTGAAGTCGACGAAAATGATCCTGACTTGCTTAGTGAATTGCGTGAAATTGCGGGTAATTATATTTATTTATTTTTTATAACTTTAACAAAAGATAAGTTTTTAATAACAATTTCCCTGTGTTCTGCCATTTTTTAAATAAACCTTTGTGTACTTCTAAAAGGTTGGAACTAAATGAAAACTTATAGAATTTTGAGAATATAAACAGATTTTAAAAATGCAATAAGATATCAGGCATTTTCATCTAAAGTATCAAAGTAACTGTCAATTTGTAGAATAACCAGAGGTCAACTATACAAAGTCATTATAATTTGTAATGTACACCAACAACTATTTTTGTCAGTTTTCACAAAGATATTGTTGTGAGATTTTAATTTAAATGTAATATAGAATATTCTGCATTAGGTAACATACATAGGAAGTCCAAAAACCATCAGCATTGTACAAGGTGGTTCTAATTAATAGTTCTAAAGCTACTTTCAGTAGAACCGAAAATAGTGCCTTTTAAAAGATTTTAATACTAGTAATAACCATCCTATGAAAAAGGGATTTGCAGCATACTTGTAGAATATTTCATCTTCTTTCTCCCAATTTTTAACCCCAATACCCTAAATAAATTTAATTAGACAAAATATTAAATTTTCTGTTCTGAATTCTTTTAGGTGAAGATGAGGAAAAATCAATTTTAGAATCTCTATTGCCCTCAGCAATTTCTTCTGATTCATCTTCAAATTCTATTGCCATTTTATCTGAGCGTTTAAAAAATTATCAAATTGCTGAATCTAATGCCCGGGCTGCTGGTGAATCTAGCAAAGCTAGACGATATGGCCGTGCCATCAAAACCTTGGATGATTTGATAAAACAGGCTAGTGCGGGAAAGAGCATAAATTTGGAAGATGAGTCAGTGCCACCAGAAATACATGTAACTTCGAATCCACCAACCAATAATGGTACAGTTGATGCTAAAGTGCTTGTTCCAATAAGACCGGCACCAACAGTGCCAGCTACTGAACCTCAACAGCAAGCGCCGATCTTACCAGATGCAGTGCAGAAGAATGTAGAAGAAGTGAAAAAAGACATCGATCAGGAAATGTTGAATATGCTTTTAGGTTACTGCTAGTAATTTAGTTGACTATTACACCTATTTTGAATTATATTTTTTTAGAGAGACAAAAGGAATACAAGTTAGCTGCGTTACATGCCAAGAAAAGTGGGAATACGGAAACTGCCATAAGTTTTATTAAAGTATCAAAACAGTTCGATCATGTCATTGAAGCTGTTAAAAATGGTCAGCCAGTAGACTTGTCAGATATGCCGACATCACCTGCTGAGGTAAAATTACCTCAGGAAATAAAAAAAAAATTCATTGCAAAAATATGAGAGATGAGTTTAGTTTTTAGTTAGTCTATATATTAGGCAAAAATACAAACAATAAATGTTTAGGTTAGATGTATTCTGAAATAAAATTTGATGAAAAGGTTTTAAATTTTAATTTTTTACTTTACTTTCAACATAGCTCATAGTAAAGTAATATCAGATGATGTGAAAGGGTTTTCACAATATTGTGTAGCACGTTTTAGTTCTTCCATACAGGACAACAATGGAATCATCTCTTTAGACTCTTGCATGTGACAAAGTTTCTTGAAAACGCCAATTTCACCAAGGGCAATCTTTTTTAGGCCGAATCTTCAAAGGTACAAACTGAACATAATGAAATTCAGAAGCAGTCTAATCCCAAAAATCTGGTCTCCCAAATCGAGGCAAATATGCCTGAGGAGCAACTCATTACAGCTCCAACTGCAGAAGAAGCACTGCAGCAAAGGCTACAAGTGTATAAAGACCATGAAACCAAAGCAAAGGATGAAGGAAACAGCAGTAAAGCTAGGCGTTATGGTCGAATTGTGAAGCAGTATGAACAGGTATTCCTTCTGTTGAGTATGTATCTATATTGCACAGTTTTGTTTAAGGCAATTAAAGCTTACAAAGCCGGAAAACCCATTGCTTATGATGAACTGCCAACTCCTCCTGGTTATGGGCCAATTCCGGGTCAACCTACTGCTGCTCCCGAGCCAATGGCAAGCCCATCCAGTCAGAGCAGTGAAAAAGAAACTGATGAAGTTTCCCCTACCCAACCTTTAAAACCAAGTCCTTCCTCTAGAATATCAGGTAAATAAAAAATAGTGGTAATGATGAAACACATAAAATATTTGTGGTTCCAGGTAACAAAGTCTCTACTTCACATCAAGAAAAGCAAATACTGATTCTGCAAGCGAAGCAGAAACAGTTTAAAGCGGCAGCCTTAAATGCCAAGAAAAAAGGAGAGATTGTACAAGCGAAAGAATTTCTAAGGCAAGCAAAGGGTTTTGATAAACTAATAGAAGCAGCTCAAGCTGGGTTGCCCGTCGATTGGTCTTCAATCCCTGTATCTCCGGAAGCTAAATCTCAATTAGATAATGAGTGAGTGAAGATTTCATTAAATTTTTTGCTTGAAATGTTAGAATCTCATTTCCTGCAGATATGATATTGTAATGTCCGAGGAATGCACTGAAGATGATAATAGTGATAGTGATGTGCTTTCCCGGTTGGAAATTCAACTTACTAAGCAACTGAAAATGTGCCTTAGTACCAGAGATCACCACAAAGCTCTAGGAGATGTTGCGGGAACAAATAGGTTTGTTGTACGATTTTTTGTGTTATGTTCGCGTGGTGTATTCAATTGTGTTTAGGTTCGAGAGACTCGCGTTAAATGTGACAAAAGATTTAGATACTATCCGTCTTGCGAAAAAAACGGCCAGCGGCATTCCAAAATTTCATTACGAAATGAAAAATTTCTCCATTGTCAAAAGTTTTACCGATTTAACAGACAATGATTTAGAGCTTGTCATTATGAGGGGAATCAATTATACATCCTCAAACCCCAAAGAAATTGATACCTATGTTAAATTTGACTTTCCGTTTCCCCAGGTAAGTTATCAATAATTCCGATTTTCCGATATAGTTTAACATTATTTTTAGGATACCCCTTTTAGTGATCGAACTTCAACAATCAGAGATACGAATAATCCCGAGTACAACCAAACTTTTGTGATTCCAATACAAAGAAACTCTAGACAGTGTCAAAGAGTGTTCAAGAGGCACGGAATTAAGTTTGAAGTTTACGCAAAAGGGTGAGTTCCAAGTTTTAGATAGCTAAACGCAACATTTTTCACACACATAACATTTTACACAATGTTGCTTTTTTGAAAGCTTTTCTATGTTTTCTTTTATCCACTTACAACTTATTAATAATCATCTGTGCTGCTTTGATATTGATGGTTTTAAAAATATTTGTATAGTGTGGATCAACTAAACTTTTCTTGTGTTACATTTTGCAGTCAATATGGACACCAAAAACTAATAAAAAAAACATATTTTTACGTCTGCTAACTAGGAGCAGAATTATATTTCCCTCTTTATCTAACCTTTTGACTCTTCTTTCCCACTCGCCTCGCCTTCACTTTTTTGGATTTTGAAAGGTTTCTGCCGCAATTTTTTGAATCCTCTTATTAATGCGTGTTGCGTGACATGCCAAAAAATTAGACTATTGGAAATGTTGAATATCGCCTGCGTCTGCTCCTTGGCAAACCCAACTTTGTATAAAGTAAGTTACAGGATAGTTATGGAAAATGACAATTTCGGCGATATTTAAAAGTCCATGACTTGGTTCCGTTTCCATTGGTTCCATGTTTTATCGGTATCGCGTTGTCTTTAAATCCGATTAGGAAAAAAATGGGATCTATATAAAATTCATTCATGCAAACGCGACTTTCACATCAGACAATTTGTACCACAATTGCAGTAAGGGATATGTGTTTGTGTATGTGTGGATTTGAATTTGGTTTGGTTAAATCTTTGTTTACTTTTACACTTTAATCTTCCAAGATGGGAAAAAATCACCAATAAAATTAATAATTAAAACGAACGTAGTAATGTTATAGTCAACAACTAATTAAACAAAAAAGCTTCGAAACCGAATAACTGTATTTTGAGAAATGTAATACATACATGCAGTTCAAATCAACACCAATTCCAGGACAAGAAACTACTTGGAAGTTATGAAGGTCCTGCATAATATTTTAATTTACCGCTTAGCCTGAGAATGCTGTTTAAATACGGGTTGTAAATCACATTTTTGATATTTGATGGCGAATAGAAAATCTTATCCTCTTTATTTAGAGCGCTAAAGTGCGGAAGAATTCTAGTAGAATCTTGTGTGGGTTATAAAATATATAAGCTTGCCATTCTAGTGCTAGCATTGGTGTTAGCCTCATTATATGATAATAAGGCTGACATAATAAAGCTAGCTTATTATTACTTTGTTTTATTTTCCATTTCCCATCTCTTGACATTCTATCTGTATCTGGATCTGCAAATTTTTGTTGTTGGCCGGTCATTCAGTTTCATTTACCGCTTATAAAAATGGAAAATCAAGGGTGCTATGAAAGTGTTTGTCTAGCTGCGACTGCTACTGTTGCGCTAGCGACTTCTTCTCCTGTTTCAGTGGTTGGTTTAAGGGTGATTCTTTGATTGGCACTGTCAACCTCAAGCTTCAACCTTTGGAAACCCAATGCGAGATACATGATAGTTTTGATGTAAGTATTTTTTTTTACTTAATTTGTTTAGGTTAGGGGAACTTTGGTTCAGCATCGGTTAGCCAAAACTGTATATATGTTTTCCAGTTATTAGAGGGCAGAAAAAAAGTAGGCGGGAAATTAGAAGTGCGTCTTCGTATCAGGCATCCTATTGTTACTCAGCAAGTAGAACAGATTAATGAGAAGTGGTTGATTGTTGATCAATAGGAAAGCAGATCTTTATTTTATATACATTGTACTCGTAAGGTATTGGTTTTTGTACATTTGAAAATTACTATAAAAATGCATTAATATTACTATTATTGTATCATACACCGATTCTTATAATTCCTACAAACGTATTTTTACTTAATTTTCAATTCTTGTTGATTGTGCCTTTAAAATTATCTGAATAAATTATTGTAGTCGTTTTAATTATGGACTATATATTTTATCCCCTTTTTTTTAACAAAGTAAATATGGGGATTCTATTTTAATTGGGATCTTTTATGTCTTGCATGGTTTTTCCCACTGGTGATTAATTAATAATCCAATAATGAAATTTTTGTCTTACTTAGATGATCACATATTTCATAATATTTTTTATATAATATAATTTGTCATTCAGAGAGAACCTACGATATATCGGCTTAAAGTCAGTACTCAGACTCGAGCGTCATCTACCTGAAGATTTATGACACGTCATGTTGAAAGAAATTTTGTCACTACTGTGGAACGGAAAATTTGAAATTTGTTTGTCGTTCTTGACGCTTTGAAGCTTTAGTAAAATCCTGTTCACTATACTGCTTTAATGAAAAAAATATTAAATGTGACAAAAAAATTATAAATAGAAAAGTGGGATTCCCAAAATTTAAAATCAAAACTAGTTTGGTTATGGTTCATATTTATCGTATGCCTCCACATTTAATTGAACTTGCAATTTTTGTTAATGTTAAGTCTGATAACGGATATGTTACAAAGCATAATTTATAACGATTTCTACTGTACAGTTCATTACTTTAACAACTGAATTTAAAAAAAAAAGGGTTTCCATTAAAAAAACAAATTTTTGCATTATTTTCTTTGTTTGGTGATGTTCATTCCTTCAATTTGATCGTAGTTTTCGATTCGAAGGGACAAAATGCATACGCATTAGGTTGATTTTGCATCTTTTGATTACTTTTTGTTGGTTTTCAAAATGTATTCGTTATAAAAGGTCGGCGAAGAACTTGAGTAACATTATTTAATTTTGGTTATAGTTTGATTGATTCCCAGAAACTTCCTTTTTGGAAGTTATTTTGTTAAACTTTCAGGACGTAATAAGAAAGAAGATAAGAAATTTAAATGACGACAGTCCATATGGATTTCGTGAGAAGTGCTTAGCGATACAACGCGGCGTTATTGATTTGCGAACAAAAAGTGTGGATGGTTCAAATAATACTTTTATTCATTCAGAATATAGTTAGCCAGTGCGCACCTATTTTTTTAATGCAACTTTTAATTACTCCTAAAAAACGTAAACTGAGCCACAATTACCATATATGTTGTTACTTTTGAAGCCACCTTAAACAAAAGAAACATCAATTACATCAATAGGTAATAATTAATTTCATATATACGGCTCGTCGAAAACAGACTGAAAAGCAGCAAGAATTTTTTTAAGAAAGAAATTTTAAAGTCTCAATTATTTCTTTGAGACGCGAATAATTTTGAAGTTGGGATTTGTATCCTTGATTTTTTTAAGAAAACGCATTGAACGCAAGAATTTATTAAAAATTAGGGTTTATTCCTTGGAATATAATAATCTAATACAGGTAAATACTAAAAATATATAACCTAATTTAATTAATTTTACAGGGGGTCCCTTAGGATCTCGATAACTGTAACAGTTACAAAGTCATTTTACAGCAATTTTTTGTCTTTTACAAGATGTCGTTATTAAATTGAAATTCGACATTTGATCTGCGCGTGACCCTACAAACAATTGTATTCGAAGTGTTTTCGGAGCGCGAGCATTGAAGATGCCAAGTGAGATCTTGGCAAAAAGTCTGCAGGATTCCAGTCGGAGTTCAACAAACGAACGGACGATATCCCGAAATATATTGTTATCACATTTTTCCATCGGATGGAAAAATGTGTCGGTAATATATTCCGGGATATCACCTGTTCATTTTTTGAACTCCGTCTGGAATCCTGCATCCGACTGGATTTCTGCAGATGTTTCGCCAAGATCTAACTTGGCATCTTCAATGCTCGCGCTCCGAAAACACTTCGATTATCGGCGATGCGTGGGGTATTTATAACCTGCTCCGGAGCTGGTAACGGGAGGGGAGACGGCTCCGCCCTTGAATTTTCGCGTTGTTAATTTCGGCCGATCGCAGTTGCGATGTCGCCGTTGGCTGTTGCGTATCGCTCTGCCGTTTGATTATCGTTTTCCATGTATTCGATAAATGCAGCTTCGTCTCTCGTGTTTAGGTGTTTAGCGTTTTTCGGGCAGTGTCTTGACAGATCCGTTATATACAGCGGAATATCTTCGTTCTCTTCTATAAGCAGGAGTGCCTCGGGTATATATGTTCTGAATTTTTGACATAGGATTCTGCTTTTTCCATTATGGGTTGTAGTGCACTGGTCAAATGTTAGTCCAGCTTGCCTTCTGGTGAGATAAAGGCGCTCACGTATCTTTGGGATTTAACTATGCAATAGCTCCAAAAAGAATACCCGTCGAAGAGACCGTTTTCAACGTCGAAGCAAGTCTTTCCACCATAGACCAATCGAAGTTAATAGGGCAAGATATGTCAAGACACTGCCTGAAAAACGCTTACTTTACGTACAACGGGAAAATATAGCGACAAGTGGATGGAGCAGCAATAGGATCATTTCTCTCACCTGTGATTGCTAACCTCTTCATGATTTACTTCGAACAGAAAGCAACGTTGATGACGTACTTGTTGTATGGTCTTTTGGCAAAGACGCCCTTTGCAATTCCTAGACCATTTGAATTCCATTCATCCAAGGATTCAATTCACAATAGAACTTGAAGAGGATAACAGTCTGCCCTTTCGAGATGTACACATCATAAGAACTTGGAACACACTGTCTATAGAAAACCAATACACACCAATAGATATCTGAACGCTGAATCTTATCACCACCCATCACAGATACAGGCAGTGGCAAATACATTAATTTCTCGATACTTCAGGCTCACAACCGAGAAGGACAGAGATGATGAATTGAAGGAAATTAGTACCTGCTTTCGACAAAACCAAAGGCGCACTATCAGCATGGCAATAAGCTAACAACAGCAGCCGCAACAGAGAGTGCAGGATGAAACCCAACAGCGATCGATCGCTGTTCTGCCATACATCAAGGGGGTTACTAACAGAATCGGCCTGATATTACGGAAACACGAGGTATTTATGACACAAACCTGATCATACTATTGGAGCAATATTAAGAAACCCTAGACAAGGACAGACCAATAAGACGATTTCAGCCAGACTCGAGGAACATCGATTAGCCCTAAGAAATAAGCAAACAACATCGGCTTTATTCCATTTCGGCACTTGTAAACAAACAGCTAACATTTCTGATTTCTGGACCAGGATTATGCGAGAGGTCATCAAGATAGAAAAGTCTGGACATCTAAACGCGAAAGACGAAGCTCTGCATTTATCCAATACGTGGAAAACGATAATCAAACGGCAGAGCGACACGCAACAGCCAACGGGGACATCGCAACTACGATCGGGCGAAATTAACAACGCGACAATTCGGGGGGCGGAGCCACCTCCCCTCCCGCACAAGCAGCACCGTTACCAACTCCTGCGCAGTGTATAAATACCGCACGCACCGCCGATAACCTCCCAGTGTTCGAAGTGTTTTCGGAGCGAGAGCATTGAAGATGCCAAGTTAGATCTTGGCGAAACATCTGCAGAAATCCAGTCGGAGTTCAACCAACGAACGGATGATATCCCGAAATATTCGTTTAAATATCTATTAACGTCTCGATCGTAATTTCGATCTTTTTCTTGCTGTGATTAAAGAAAAAACAGTTATCATGTAATAAAATAAAAATGAAAACAAATTATTATTATTATTTAATTAAGTTATTTTTTACTGTACTTACAATCCTTATTAAGCTGTAATCGACAGTGAAGAATCCAAATGGAGAGAACTTTGAATCCAATACTGATGTTATATAGAGAAATTCTTCGATCTAAAAGTCAACAGGAATCCTAATTGATTGGAGTAGTCATGAGAATACGTTTTCATACACAAAATGTATTGTTACGAACAGGTAAAACAGGCAAGTGTAAAGCACTATAAAATAAGTGCTTGAAGTGAAAACTAATTTTTTGTAGAAAATCTATCGTGTCACGTACGAATTTCCAGTTATTCAAATTATATAGATATACTTGAGAAATTATGTGCTTTTTCTAATGATATTATCAAATTCGAAATTTTTCCTTTTTGAACTTTATAATTTCTGTTATTGCTGTGGAAAGTTTCAGTATTTTCAATTCACATATATTGCACGGCTGATGCCACGTGTCCCTTTTATTTTGGTTCGCTTTCGTTCGTTTGGTCCATTTTGTATATATTGTCAAAAAGTGGTTTAGAGATGTTTAATAACACATGTTTGCAAGCACAAAAAAATAACCATCGGACAACGTTTACACTTTTGGCGTCACTGTGCCATACTATAAACAACTTTTTACAGATACATTGACTCAAACTCAAGAGAAAAATTAGTTTCTACCTTTCCTACGGTCATAAATGTTAAACTTTCTTTTCGCAATAGTTTCTTTTAACAGTATATGTTGCAACAAGTTTGATATAAGCCATTTTGGTCAGTGTTTGTGTAACTGGTTACGTATATACTATACTTTACTACGACGATTAGTTTTTGCAAAACAACACGAATACGTTCACTGAGCAACGCGTGAAGTGAAATATAATGGCCAAATTTTACCGAAAATGTCCTATTGCTCCCAAATCCGTGATTCAAGTACCGGAAACGTCCAAAGTGGGTCGCGATCATGATTAACGAAGCTTAAAGTGTACTTTAAAACGACAGCTTCATTGTCATTGTCACTGTTGTAAGCTAATTGGGACGCTTCACGATTTTGGGAGCACTCAGATATTTGACGTGGTATTTTGATGTTTGCCCATTTTAATAGCTACGTCACACGTCATTCAGTAAACTTATTCGTTCGGTTTTGGTTTTCACATTTGATTAAGACTAATTATTGAATATTTATCACAGCAAATTCATTACCTCCTCTCTGGCGTCCGCACTGCATATTTCATTATAAATTTTTGACACAATGTGCCTCGTTTCGTCTATCTAAAACAATCAGTATAACAAAAAAATAAAAAAAAATTGTGAACTCACCTCTGTGTTCAATGAGCCGCTGACACAGCACAGGCACGTTAATTTAAAACAAGAATAAACCAGCCAAGCGATGCTAAACAGATTCAGCTTGAATTTATTGGCATCGGTGTATTTGGTGAAAATTAGGTCCAGAACAGCAAAGACGTTTTGTAATAGGTATAATTCTAATGCCAATATGCTAAATAATAACGGTATTTTAAACATTTGGTTTAATTGCAGACGGCATTCCCCCAAGTAGAGGTAAGCCTTTCGCAATTTCCGAATTTTGCAGATACCCACTATCGATAGTCGGTCATAAACCATTTTGCTCTGTTGTTCTAGAATAGTAAATAAATATTTTGATATACAAACTATTTCAGCCCTAGCAGTAGCGTAGCAGAGAGGCCCGCAGGAACAACTCAATTTCCAAGTACTTATTAACAAACTTTGCCTATTCAGCTACGCTACTGAACTTTATTTGTCCTTCACAGGTATTAAACGATTTAAAAAATAGCAACAACTGACGTACCTGCAAAAAAGACTTCTATTTTGGCTAACTCTTGATTAATTTTCTTAATTCTGTTTTTCAGAATTAAACACAGTGCGCTATAATTCGTATGCAAGCATAAATCAATCGTGGATCCGTACCAGAAACCCATCAAAACGATAATAATATACATTTTTTGTGAAAAATAAAAAAGCCCTTTATTTACGTAGAAATAGGAGATCTGCACTGGCAAAGTCCAAAATAACATTAAACCCAGCAATAATTTTACATATTTCGAATCGTTTGGGTTCCTCTTTTCGTGATATAAGAAATTGGTTTGCATTTGGATATTGTTCAACAGAACTGGTAGTTTCTTATTAAAGACCATCAGACCAATTATTTGGTGCATAAATGCCGGAACGAAAATCGTGGCACTGTTTAACACGTACGACAACTGTGAAGCGGTTATAACCTGAAACTTAGAACTCTGTATAAAAAAAAAAATCATAAGCTGTCAACCAAAAGCTCAAAAACTACTAGAAAACAGTATAACAAAAAATTGATATTTGCATTTTTCATTTGATATCTTCAGTATGAGTCTCTAACCCGGACATAGCGATTAATATTTCAAGTTTTGCTCTTGTGAACACACATTTTCGAGATAAGTATAGAAGATAAAATTTGGCCACTTTCTAGCCACAGGTAAAATTTATGGAAGGCTAATGTTCCAGTGGTTCTTTATTCGTAAGAAAAGTATTTGACCCGTTGGCGTTTGTATAATGTTTTATCAGACGATTACAATTACCTTCTTTTTGGTATATGGTATAAAAAATTGCTTAAAGGCGCACGTTTATTGTTTAATAATAATACCATAAACTTGCCCGTTAATTTACATCATACTCATAACTTAACATAACATTATTATTATTATCATTATTATTAGTATTATTAGTAGTACTATTAAATAATGTTAATACCTCGCCTATAGTTCCTAAAAAGCTTGTAAATCCAAAAATGGAATTTAAATAAACACATGATTCGATTGCATTGAAAGTAATTGTCAGAAATTGCCATACTAAAATCCAGATAGATGGAACATAGGATTTCTGGATTTTACAGTATCTAAGAGAAGTTAAACCCAACATATTTGACATGTAAAGTAATGGTCTAAATGACCTAAACAAGTCTTGGCTTCCCGTTGAGCGCTTGAAGAATAAACAAAAATATTGCATCATTATGAATTAAAATGATACATAAATTTCGAACACGAACCTCACAGCAACGACTGTTTCACAAAACTACCATCAAACCTGTACAATTTTGTGATTTTATCGACTCGCATACCGATAATTTTATATGGTCATTAATCTGATAAAAAAGCATAATAATGTATATATGAACACGTAAAAATTCCGGTACATATATGTCAAATGCGACAGCAATTATTCGAAGTAGCTAGTAGCTATACACTAAGAAGAATCATTATCATCATCATGATAACAAACTATTTTTATTTGATTTTTTATGCATTTCATACTATTATTATTAATTCTATTATTATAATTATTACCCTACAAGATGGGACGGATGATTATCTACTCCTCATCACGTTAGTGGATTCTACTTCCCACCACAATTATTCTGATATAAGGCTGTCTTAACCTTACAGGCAGCTAAAGTAAAAAAAAGGGTCCTTTCAGCTAGATTTTGGAATCAACTTTCAGTGTTCCGGGGGTTTCACAAGTAATTGTCTTTCTGATTTAAAAAGCTTATTCAAAGCAAACTTTTGTTATAACTCTTCAGTGAGATATTTTATTGCCTTTACTCACCCTTGTTACTTACGTTTAGCGTTATTATTTGATTATATAAAAGCATTTAATTATAATCTGACATTTTTTTGTAGTTCTATCGAACTGCGTAAATATACTTACTTCTTTTATGTAATTCCTGTCACTCTAGATTTGATTTGCTCCAACCAGTTATCGAGTGCATAAATAAATACAAATGTAAACCAATAATGAACTAATACGTATGTGGAAATTATGTCCAGATATTCAAGAGGGTTCAAGGTTTGTTAGAGAGGTAGCACCTTTGCTTCGGGATGACTGGGCACTGGTCCTCATGACAACCAGGGCTGGGTGACGCGTCCGTGCCTAAAAGCACACATAGCCTCTCCTCAGCCAGGACCGTACTGCGTGGTGCAGAGCCACATCCTACTCGAGGTGATCCTGTTAACGCAGAACAGTACGGATCTAGACTGGGAGGTCAATAAATATCCCTGGTGGAGGGCAGCAGCGACCACCAGTACCAGGATGGGGCGCAAAGAAAATGACTCTGGACCGGCTCATTACTGGATCACTACAAGTATGACTGTAGCAGTTTTAATAGTTGTGGTACTGCGATACAGAAAAGAAACGGAACTCTTACTGTATTATACTTTCCAAAAAATCTCAATGGCTGAAGAAAACACAAAAATGGCCCTCAGTCCGGGGCACCCCTTAAGTGGGGAGAGGGTGCGAAGAATACCCCCGTCTTCCACTAGTGAGAAATATGCAGATAGAGACAGCGAAAAATTCAAAATCTACGGTAAAATCGTCCGCATTGCCACATGGAATACACGCAGCTTATTTATGGCAGGAAAACTTACAAACGTTGAATGCGAGATGAACAGATTGAACATAGACATCATGGGAATGAGTGAAGTCAGATGGCCTAACTCTGGAAAACAAAAAACTAAAAGAGGGACCATGTACTATTCAGGAGGCACTGATCCGGACCATAGATATGGAACGGCAATACTTGTCTCAGAGAGAATAGCAAAGTCAGTGACAGAGTTCATTCCCCTAAGTGATAGGGTCATGATGCTAAAACTACAAACAACCCACAGAAATTTAAACATAATCCAGATCTACGCTCCAACACAGGACAAATCAGACCAAGAAATCGAAGAATTCTACTCCCAAGTTGATGAAGCCATGCGACTGACAAGGAAGGGTGAAATAAGTATGGTTATTGGTGACTTCAATGCCAAGGTAGGCCGTGGTTCTGATGGAGATAGTGTAGGGAATTACGGTCTTGGAACGCGCAATGAAAGAGGCGACAGACTGATACAGTTCTGTGTAGAAAACAACCTAATCATAACTAACACCTTTTTTAAGCTTCACCCCAGAAGACTATATACCTGGAGATCACCTGCAGACAGAGAGGGGACGATTATCAGAAACCAGATTGATTTTATTCTCATAGGACAGGAATTCAAAAAATACATAAAAGCAGTGAAAACATACCCTGGCGCAGACATTAATAGTGATCACAATCCTGTGGTGATAGACTTCAAACTCAAACGATTTATGAATACCAAAAGGGAAAAGACCACAAAACAAATAGACTTTGCACAACTGAATAACACCAAAAAGAAACAAGAAATAAGTTTGAAAATAGAAAGAGAAATAGAAGCAGCAGTCAGTTTGGCACCAGAAAGGGAAATAGAGACGACATGGAACATATTTAAAAACAAAATAACCAACATAGAGGAACAGGACATCGGCTACATAAAGAACGACAGGAAGAAAGAGTGGATGACACAGGAAATTATGGACCTAATGAATGAGAGAAGGAAACTTAAAACAAAGCCGACAGAATACAAACAACTAAATAGAACTATTAGAAAGAAATGCAGAGAGGCAAAGGAACAATGGTTGATAGCAAAATGCCAAGAAATAGAGGAGCTACAATCAAAACATGACAGCTTTAATCTGCATAAAAGAATAAAAGAGATGACAGGCAAACACAGGCGACACCATGCATCAATACTTAGGGACAAACACAATGAAATAATTACGGGAATAGATGCTAAACTGAAAAGATGGCATGAGTACATCGAACAGCTATACAACGACGAAAGAACACACACCCCACCCTCATATAACAGCGAACTAAACGAAAAAGGTCCAGTAATATCCAAATATGAGGTCATGCACGCCATCAGATCACAAAAAAATAGAAAAGCTACTGGGCCAGACAAAATTCATGCAGAAACACTTAAACTAATAGCAGATAATGAAGGCAAAAGCTTGGATTTGATAACATCACTGTTTAACAAGATCTATAGTTCGGGCAAGATACCAGCCGATTGGCTAAAGTCAACTTTTATAACGCTGCCCAAAAAAGTCAATGCCTCTAATTGTGACGATTATAGAATGATTAGCCTCATGTCCCACGTGCTCAAAATATTTTTTAGAATTGTCCACACAAGAATATACAGGAAATGCGAACTGCAAATAGGCGAAACTCAGTTTGGATTCCGAAACGGACTAGGTACACGCGAAGCACTCTTCTCTCTGAAAGTGTTAACACAAAGATGCAGGGACATGAATGTAAGCGTATATGCATGTTTTATCGACTACCGCAAAGCATTCGATTGCGTCAACCATCAAAAGATGATCGAAATACTAACAGCAACCGGTATCGATGAGCAGGACTTACGTATTATTTCAGAACTTTACTGGAGGCAAACAGCAGTGGTCAACATCGAGCAAAACATATCAGATGAGATACTGATCAAGAGGGGAGTTCGCCAGGGTTGTGTGCTGTCCCCACTATTGTTTAACCTCTACTCGGAGGCTATATTCAGAGAGGCAATGGATGGAATTAACGGAGGAATAAAGATCAATGGCATCAGAATAACCAATATCAGGTACGCGGACGACACTGTTGTCATGGCAAGCAGTCCGTCCGAGCTACAAATCATGATAGATCGCATAGTCCATTATAGCCACTTTTTCGGATTGCAATTAAATGTCGCCAAAACCAAAACACTAGCGTTCTCAAAAACGGTTACTCATGTACATCTAAATGTTAATGGGAAGCCAGTTGAACAAGTCGACTCAATCAAATACCTGGGAGCCAATATCAATAGCCAATGTAATCCGAAGAAGGAAATATTGTCGAGAATCGAGCAGGCGAGAAGAACATTTATGAGCATGAGGGTATTCTTCATAAGATCTGACATAAGTCTTGAGCTCAGATTGAGAATGGTGAGATGCTTCATCTTCTCTGTTTTGCTTTATGGATGCGAGAGCTGGACACTCGATGCTCAAACAGAGAAGAGACTAGAAGCGTTCGAGATGTACATATATAGAAGAATACTGCGGATCTCATGGGTACAGAAAATCACCAATAATGAGGTTTTGAATCGCATGCACGGGTCTCGCGAATTATTAAATATAATAAAACAGAGAAAAGTGCAGTATCTTGGCCATGTTATGAGGGGCGAAAAATATGAATTTCTGAGGCTGATAATAGAGGGCAAAGTCCAAGGTAAAAGATCGATAGGAAGACGTCAAAATTCGTGGCTCAAGGACCTCAGGAGGTGGTTTAATCGCTCATCAATAGAAATATTCCGGGCTGCAGTTTCCCGAGCCACAATAGCCATTTGGATCGCCGACCTTCGAAAGGAGAGGGCGTAGTAAGAAGAAGAAGATTCAAGAAGTAGAGTTTTGCAAATTCCACCTACAATTTATCTTTTTAATAGATCCCCCTCTATACATCCCAAATCCAAATCCCCTTCTGACACCTACTGATTCATGTTAAAGTTTCTCAGTCATTTAAAGGTACTTTATATGCTACCTGCTATTGCGCTCAACAATTTCTAGAGGAACTGCTCAGAAACGCATTCGTTGTTATCTTTTTCGATTTTAAACGTATTTATTAATATGAAAGCCGGCGCAGGTAAAACACGGGAAATGTCATAAAAATCCATAATGTATGCGTCAAATAATAGAAAAACCAATAATCAATATCAATCAATTTCTAATAGTTTAAGGAAAGCGCCATGTAATAAACGAATCAGCATCATTTTTCAAACCATTATTAAATGCAGATTGCGTTTTATGACCATAGGCTGATATAACTACGTTTTGATGTCCGTTCCCATGTTCAACCATCAACAGTCTGAAATATATGTTTGATCGTAACATAAAATACTTTCGTTTGTTATTTTAGCCGTAGCCTCTGTTTACAGGGTCTGCCAATAAACTTAACGGCAGATGAAATGAGACACCCAACAAGTTGCTCAATTTATAAGTTCAACGTTTTTTGGCAAAGAATTTGTAACATTAACACTTCGAGATATCATTGCCAGTTTCTTCAACTTCCTTTTTCAAAATTTATTAATTCTGCCTCTGAAATTTAACGATACTTAATAATCCCGGGTTTGACATCGTTAAGTGCGTATAAAAGATGATGTCTGTTAAATATTTACATTATTACCAAGTAACTAGATGCGCCATTAGATATAGCAACTATGAAACCAAAACCAATCGCTGGTAAAAAAAAAGTGATAGTGAAGGTGACAGGTATTGTAGACAAATTATACTAAAATGAGTTTTTAATGCTACAGTGCACCAGGGCAAGAGCAGTCGCCGCTGTGACAGGTGATATTTTTAGTTGGTGAAAATAGATTAATAACATCTATAGTCTGTATTGATTTACAATGGCATCGTTGTTTCTCCAAAAGAAATTTATATGCGAGATTGTAATTATTTGTGACATAATTTTAATGCGACGTTGGCAACTTATTGGGAAAAAATAACAAATATTTTCAATAAAGCTTGCTTTTGCTTTATTTTATCACTTTTGTTAAGGTTTCGTATACCTATCGATTGAATATTTTCCATAATATTCGGTTATATTAATCATTTACAAAAATGTAATGTAAAATAAAAGTGATACATGATTTTGTTACTTTGAAAGTGTCTTGGTAAAATAAAAATTTGATTAATTCTTGTTCTTATTTGCCAAAAGTAGGCCGCTGAAGCACGATATTCGTTAATTACTTGAAATCAGCTAAAAATGCACATTGAAAATAAATTTAAAATCCTTACTGTGCAAAAATGACTAAGTAGTTAGTTATTCTACCTTCAGTTCAATTTCGAGATTTGGCAAATAGTTCCTTTTTCTTAGTTTGAGATTTATTCTTAATTGAATTTATATTCGCTCTTTATCGGCTGATGGAAAATAAAAACAAAAAATATTCAAATTTCAATTCATTTTTCTTTCAGTGACCGGTTAAGGTATTTTTGTAAATGATTAATAAAAATGAATATTACAGAAAAGGAATGGTCAGATAACTTCTTCATCTGACACCTTATACTCATTTATTTTGAGAGTGGTCTTGAATCCTCCAAAAGTTATCAAACAGGAAAGATGCCGAAGGTAACTTGAAATGCAACATTTTACCCTTTTTGGGTACGTAGTTACTAAAGCTTTCTTTTTGGAGTATTACTTAAAATAATCCTTGGCTTACAAGATTGGTAATATCGATCCAAGCAGGGGTCCATCACTTCCATCACACGTGGTAATTTAAACCTTTTTTAACCAGTTCTGTGAATCATATACGTGAAACTGATATTCTGGGATCATATCGAACGTTTTAGAATCATTGTAAAATTGAATTGCTAGAATTATATTTTCGTTTTTTTTTTCGTAGTCCCTGTATTTTGATACATAAATTAATACAATAATCTGGGACGCTCATAACATTGACACCTCACTATAGTGAAATGATAATCTGAGAAGAATAGTCTGTCCAATAAATGTTTATTTAATTTTACGCATTTTCTTGAATTACATAAATATTAAAACAACATATAAGCAATATTCTGTATGCAATAGATAAATCCATCAATTTTTTCTAATAAACGTAAATTGGGCCGCAATTATCATATAGGTTGTTACTTTTGACGCCACCTTAAACAAAATAAATGTTAAAATATCATAATACCAAGCAGCGTTTTTATGTAGTACTTACAATCCTGATTAAACTGTAGTCGAGAGTAAAAAAGCCAAACGGCGAGAATTTTGAATCTAATAGCGAAGTTATATACAAAAATTCCTCTACCTAAAATGCTAAAGTTGATTCTTATCCTGCATATCACTCTGCATAAAATACCTCTTCCTTTACTTGTTCACTGTTCACTTGATTAAACATTTTTGAAGCAATACGCCTGGTCTCATTTATCTACAATAAGCGATGATCAAGATATAATATCTACTTAAAGTGCAAACTGGCAGCTTACTTCTCCATTTAAAGAACCGCTGGTGCAACATAAACATGTTAATTTGAAACAGGCACAACTCAGCCACGCGATACAGTACATATTCATATTGGAATGATTTGGTTCCAATTTGATGAAAGCAAAATCCAATGCCGTATAGGTATTTAATAACAGAGATACTTCTAATCCTATAATGCTAAACAGAAGCTGTGTTTTAAAAATTTGGTTTAATTGTCGGCAACACTCCTTCAAATAAACGTAAGCGTTTCGTAGTTTTTGGATTTTACGTGCACCTAATCTTGATAGTCGATCATTGACATCTTTGCCTTGTCGTTCTGGAACAATAAAGGAATATTGAGTTAGAATATATTGTCTGCGTGCAAGGAACTAATGTACCGCTCCTTTGGATTTTGACTAATACTACTAATTCAACATTGGAGTTGTACTTGTTTTTGTACTACTGGTATCAGAGCAAAAACTAAAATAATGCAAATAAACGTTGAATTGTAAAACTAAATTTTTTGATTAATGAATAGCTGGATAGCAGCGAACAGACATTTCATAATTGGAAATGCAAACAGGTATAGATAAAAAAAAACTAAAGCATGGATATCATGAAATGAAAAGTATAGGATTCAGTCCTACAGGGGCTATTTAATTATTAACAAGAGTATAGCGTTTCTGAATTTCTGAGAAGCAAATTTGTCAAAATTTTTATTGAAATATATTTTTAAGAAGCCACAGAAACAGGTAATGTTAAAAAAATATTGTTGCGCGAGCAAAATTTGAAGGATGATTTCGGTCTAATTTCTAATTTCTCAATTGCCAGTTTTGTATCTCGAAAAATTTCGATAGTTGTATACATATAGATAGGTATATCTTCGACAATAGTTTCAGGGATCATTAAGAAATGTTGTGAATAGCACTCGGATAAAAAGTGAAGAATTTCGAAATAGAACCCAGTTTTGGTTAGTTTGCCCTATTTATTTCGACCGCAATGAATTGCGCGTGTGGGATTTAGTCTCAATTTTAAATATTTCAGTAAAAAGTACCGGGGTGCTTAAGTGTCTCCAAAACTGCCAAAGCTGGAAAGATAAAATTCAATAGTCTGTTCATAGATATAAGAAAGTGACTAACTGATACGAATTAAGGAAAGACCCGGGCAAGGTGTAAGAATGAAATATGGCCGAACAGGTCCGTACTTTGCTTAGAATTTAATTATTTGGGATTTTGTTAAGAAAGATACTAAACAATATTTATTTATTTATGTATATATTTATGTTTAAATCTAAAATAAAATTACAAATTATTTTTATTACCTACTTAAATTACTTAAAATTATTCACATAATACATCAGTATCACTATCGCTACCATCGCCTGTTCTAATTATTACTTTACTAATTATTATATTATTTGCAATATGGATATACGATTGTTCTGCTTTTTCTACATGTTTAACAGAATTTGCCCAACTTTGTGGAGGAATGCTAAAAACTTCGGTTTCTATAAGTTTGAGGACATTGGAGTTAACACGGGAAAAACATTGTTACGACGAATTGGAGATTTTAGTTGGTGCCAAACATGGTCAATGGAATTAAATATACAGTGGAAGCTTGAAAACTGTATGCCCTAGATTTTTTGCATAATTATCACAAATGTATTTCTTTTGTAGGTTCAAGCTTTGTAGAACCTATTGAGGTTGAATTGTCATTGCTTTTTGGTATAATCTTCGTGAAAATAAATGTCTTTATTATACATGTAATTTTGAATTGTTGCTTTTGTGTCACATGAGGAAGGGGTTTTAGTCAACTGTCTACTGTGATAACTTGCATTGTTGCATAGGAGGAATGTTTGGAACTAATTTGTTTTTAAACTAACTTTCAAATAAACCAGTGGTCGTGTCTTCATGGTAATCCAGAGAAGAATTTTTAATATTTTTCGCAGACAGCGAGAGTCCATTTGGAATCCCACCATCTTTAGAGCCAGCATGCAAAATAGTTATTCTTTTACCTCTTTTAATGGCGCGTTTGTTTTACACTCATCAACCCAACCGTTTTTCGTGGTATCTTAAGTGTCGAACCAGGTTTCATCCAAATAAAAAATTGGCCTTTGTTGTTCTCTGTAAATCCTAATTTTTTCTAGATATTCCAGTCGCCTTTTCCGAACTCTAAAAGATTCCATTAAAACTTGCCTTTTCTCAATTTTTTAAAATCTAAAACCCATGTGTTGAATACACTTCCATAAGGTAGTTCTGCCACATTTAACACTGGTTTCATCTTTTTCAAGCCTCCTAATTAAGATATCTAATGTAGCCACGCTTTGTTCCTCGTATAACTGGTAAATTTTACGCCGTATTATATCTTGATCACTTTCATCTACAAACACAATTATTCACAATTTTCCATGCAGTTGATGTTGGAATTTTCGTTAATGTGGCCATTTCTTCTAAAGATGCTTGCTTGCTGGCACCACGTTCAATGAGAGTCAAATAAACATTGTTTATAACTTCCTTAGTCTCAATAGAATAGTGTTTTCTACATTTGGGCGGGAGCATCTCCTGAGATACACTAGACTCGTACATATTTTGCATAATTCGCACACGATTCAACACACGCTGTATTGCACACGAAATAAAATAATCAAAAGCAATTGGTCACTTTCTTATTTGAACATGCAGAATTCAAAAATGCCAATAGCAATGTTGTCAGATTTACCACCTTTACGTTACACGTCATAATTTTGTTATGTTAAATATATTGCCCATGTCCAATTAGTAAAGTCTCATAATAAAGTTTTATTTCTCTTAATTACTGAACTACGGCAACACCGCTTTTTCAGTAAAAAGTATCTCTAAAACGGCCGAAGCTGCAACGCAAAAATTCAATACCTGGGGTTTTTGAATATACAGATTTCAAAAATGCAGTATTGTCAGATTTACCACTGTTAATTAAAAAATTATTAACATCTCAGAAATTTTGAGGTTTTTGAACATAGCAAACTACAATTGCATCAGCGAAATCTTTTCGGAATTATAAATATCAATGAGAAATCTGACAACATTGTTGTTGGAGTTTTTGCATGTTGAAAAACCCCCAGATATTGAAGTTTATCGTTCCAGCTTTGGCAATCTTGAAGATATTTAAGCGTCCCGGTTCTTTTTGCTGAAAAGGGGGTATTGCCGTAGCTCAGTAATTAATAAAAACTAAATTTTGAAATTATGAGACCTTACCAAATTTGACATGCGCTATTCATTGCAAGAAAAACAAAAATGGCATCCCATTTTAATTGAGGTGTGAGGTGCCGTTAGCATTTTTGAATTCTGCATGATCAAAAAACGTTCGGGTATTGAATTTTATCTTTCCAGTTTTGGCAGTTTTAAAGATATTTAAGCATTCCGGTACTTTTCACAACACTATATTGCCCATTTGATAAAATCTGGAACAAAAAATGTACGTACCTGCTAAAAAGACGTTGCATTTAGATAATTCTTGATTAATTTTCCAAAACCTGTTCTTTAAAATCAAACACACTGCGCAATAATTAACTTGTAGGCAATAATCAACTGTGGACCCATACCAAAAACCCATGAAAACGATGACTATGTAAATTTTATGTGTAAAATAAAAAAGGAATCTATTTACGTATAAAAAAGAGACCTGCATCGGCAAGCACCAAATTAGTATAGAAATAAGTAATAAATTTACACATTTAGAATCGTTGGGATTTTCCTTTGGCTGATATAAAACATCGTTTTGGGATTGAATTTTGGTGAAAAGAAACGGCAGTTGCTTATCAAATACCACCAAATGCATTATTTGGTGCACGATGGTCGGAACAAAGACGGCAAGACTGCCTAATACGTATTTGAATTGTCTGTTGGATATGATCTAAAAATTAAATCTAAAAATTAAATACAGCATTTCTGTAATTGTTACAAGTACGACATTAAACGAACTTGACAATCGGAAAAAGGAAAATTAGGCGAGACAAATGTTGTGTATTTCAGGTACTTCCATTTATATATTGTTCAAACAATTGTATGAGAGAATCGCAATTTCCAATTTGAAGAATAGCATATTGCCTGGAAAAAGTCAAATTTTACTAACCTAGAAAGTAAAACATAACTTTGTAATGCTTTAAGCATTTACGTCTGTTTATATTATTAGGTAAGTTATTTAAGAGTGAGGATCTTAGGAACTTAGATTTACAAATATTTGTATTTAACTTATACACGCACACATACACATTTAAAAAATAAATATATAAATAAAAAAATATTCTTTTTTTCTTATTCAAGCACGATCTATGTAAACCATTCTGGTAAGTTTCGCAACCACAAATGTATTTTTCTTACCTGGATTTTCCCTGCTTTACTAGTTATATCCCGTGTGGGGTTGCTAGTCCCCCATCGGGCGCCTCCCCAGGTGGCGGATAGGGGGATGCCTCCCAGATATGGGTGGTACTGGGGAAATGAAATACCCAGGGCGGACCAAAACTAGCATGACACAGGGCAGTAGCTGTGGCATTACTGGTTTGGAGGCTATTGAAGAATGACTTCTCTAAGGACCCAAAGTCAGATACCTACAGGCGATAATCACATAAAGATTTACTCGGCTGTAACACTACGCCACAGAAAGGAGAGGGACCCTACTGTGCGAATATGTATCCCTAGAAAACTCATCATGGACTCTAACTCGAAGACATATGGTAAGACGCCATGCGACCCGATTGGCAATCGGCGCTCGAGCCCCAGGACTACGAGTGTGAAATTGGTTACTGGCTATAGGAGAGTAGGTGACCAGGCATCCTATAGAAAATATGCGACTGGAAAACAGAAATCAAAACCGACAATGCACAGGATATGCACATGGAATGTGCAAGGTATGAACAAAATCGGTAAACTGGCCATCATCGAGAAAACACTCACCAATGTCCCCATTACCGGAATATCAGAAACTCACTGGAAAAATAGTGGACACTACACAACTGAGTATGGCAATCTTTTGATATGCTCTGGAAACGAAAACCACAGCAGTAACGGTGTGGCCTTTCTGATACATAAGAACTTTAAGGAATCTATTTTGGGATACGAAGCTATCAACGATCGAATAATTACCCTGAAAGTGCAAGCAAAACCGGTCAACCTAAACCTCATGCAAATCTATGCCCCCACATCGACATGCCCTCAAAATGAAATAGACAACTTTTATGGTATACTCTCGAACACAATAACCAGAATGCCTAACAGAGAGCCTTTAATCGTACTGGGCGATTTCAATGCGAAGATTGGCGGAACGAAGACCGATACACATCTACG